TCTGAGTCAGTCGCACACTGAAGTTAAGTAGTGTGCAATAAATATATGACAAGTATGCACATGGGAAAGAGATGAACACACTGACAAACCTCCTGACACTTTGATGAAGCCTTCACCAACTGCATTGTGCAGCATTGCAGGTCTTCCATCATTAAAGTAGAAATCAAAGTCCATGTCAACCTTAACAGCTTTCTAGAGTCTTGCACACCTGATTTTGGGCACTTTGTCCCATTCTGCATCACAGATCCTTACATGTCTTATCAGACTGGAGGGGAAGCAGATCCACTTTTGCTTCAGGTCATCACCATGTTGAAAGGTGAGCTACTGGTCAAGTCTTAGGTCACTGCACGCTGGAGCAGGTTTTCCTCACCTGTTTTCTTGGCTGTGTTCACCTTCCTTCCAACTCTGACCAGACTCCCTGGCTCTGCAGTTGAGAGGAGCCTCCATAACTTGATGCTGGCACCACCATGCTTCACCGTAGGGAGGGTGTTTGTAGGTGATTATCAGACATTGTTTATGATATTTCAAAGCAGAGAATGCAAAGAACTGTTGTGGCTTCTATCCTGCTGGTCCACCATAAAGGCCTGATTGCTGAGTACTGCTGAGATGGTCATCCTTCCAGCAGGCTGTCCATCTCAGCAGAGGGCTTCTGAAACACTGAGAGTGATTGTAGAGTTCTGCGTCACTTCCCTGACCAAGCCTCTTCTTGCTCTGTTACCCGTTTGGCCTTCTCTATGAAGGTAGTTCCAAACTTCTTCCATTTCTCAGTTATTGAAGCCACTGTGGTCCTGGAACTCCTGCGTTTGCATTAAATATGGTTTCATAGCTTTGCTCTGGCTTATGCCCCACCCCAGTTTTATTACAGTGGTCAGCAGAGAGTTTCTTGGACTCTGTTGTTCAGTATTTGTCCTGGCATGCAGTGTGACATGTGGCACAGATGTATACTTGGTGGCCTTTAGCAGGATATGACTGTCAGGCAGCTCTATTCAGCCACTGATTACTAAAAGCTCAGTGGTGTTGTTGGGTGAGTTGAAATAACTCAATCATCATTTGTTTTTGTCTAAACGTGAAGTTCTTGAGTTCACTCAAAGCAACAAGACAACTTTGTATTCATCATAACAAGCTGTTTGTGTTTTTAAATGTTCTTCACATCAAACTACCAAGAAAATCAATGAATTCATTTTAAATTGTTTAATCTCACAGTAATACAGTGTATGAACATATCTATACATCCAAGTGATCAGTGACACAAGACAGATTTAGAAGTTGAAGGTCTTCAAAGCCTATTGCAGTGTCCTTTTTTTTTTAAAAAAAGAAAAAAGAAACGTATTAAACAGTAATGGTGGCATGTGCAAAAGTTTGGGTTTACTGAGCCAGTCGTCAGTAACCCAGCCACTCTGCCTTGCAGACTGTGTGCATATTTCACTGTATCCACTGATAACACTGATATTCTAAAACACTGGTCGCACAGTCGGTGACTTCATTTGGCAAATGAAGTCAGAACAATGACCAACACAGAGGCTCTGCAGTTGTGTCAAAAACCTACCAGTAGCCACCTGGTAGCAGTGACACAGGTCAGCTGCTGGCTGTAGAAAACAGGCTGGACTGACCTGCAGCTGAGGATTGTTTAAATAATGTTAGTGGCTAATGAGCAAAGTGAACCAAGGTTGTTTGTCCTGTCTAGATTTGTCTTGTCTACTGATACACAATGAACTGTTGCATCATCTCAGCTGAAGCTGAAAGAATGTCAGTGAAATGAACTGCATGCCAATAAGTTGGCTTTAACTTCAGTCATAATGAGGTGGTGATGCTCTCCTTTAAGGTATGTACTCAGCTTGATAACTGCATTTTTCTCCCCCCAAAAATGACCTTCAGAACACTGGCTTGGTCTTGTAATGTGTCATAACGCTGTCAAACCAGACAGCTCCTCCTTCTTGAACTACTTGGCAAAGCATTTACATCCTGGTATCCTCCTCTTGCTGAAAGTGCTTAATTTACTTGCATTTAATTCTATGTGTATATTGTTTCATGGCACTCAACATGATAAGGTGAAGACCTTAAAATATTAAAGAGAGAAAGCCAACAAATCTTCCTGAGCAGCACTTGGTGACAGTGGGAAGAAATAAAAACTCCCTTTTAACAGAAATAAAAACTCCAGCAGCACCAGACTCGAGGAGGGCGGCCATCTGCCCTGACCATGTGGGAGGTACAGCAGCCATGACAGTCCGAGCTCAGCAAGTAATTAGAGCAAAGGAAAGTCTGACATCTAAGAACATAACAATAACCTGACAGGTTAAGGAATATAAGCTACCAGACAGGTTACAAAAGCCAACAATTCAGCCAGGTCATCAGTAAGTCACTCTAGACGTCTGTTTTGTTCCTTCAGAAGCTGCAAGGAAGCAGAGACGTCACACAGCTGTAAAAATCCACCAACATAACCAAAGGCAGAGACAGAGCCATTTGTAGAGACAGAGAAATGATAAATAACTGAAGTGTCTTGGAATAAAAGCTACTTATGAGTATATTTAAAACTAAGGGGTCGGTAGGGTTGTAGTCAGACGCATTTCTCTGCTGTGCATTAAAACAGGTTATCTACAATCCTGAGTGAGTTGCAACGCTTCCAGCCTCCACATCACTCCTGAAAAAAAAGTCATACATTTAGTGCTGCCTGGAGTGTTCAAAGTCAATGTGGCAAACACATTTTTTTTTAGTGTTTTTACCACTCCTCAGTCCAGCCACATGTCACCCATGGAGTTAAAATGGGATCACATCGCTGTTAAAGTTCAGGTCCTGGATCGTTTTACTGCGGTGCACAGCGTGGCTGTGGTTCGTCCTCCGAGCCGACAATGAAGCAGACTTGTTGTGGCGAGGAGGGGGCGATGAGAGGAGGGTGGGGTGAGGAGGAGGAGGTAGATTTGGGAATCTCCCAGTAGTTTCCGTGGAGATCGAGGGAGGAAAGAGCAGGCAGGATGTCTCTCTGCGTGGGGCTGTCACACTCTGAAGGTAGAGGCGGCACGCTCAAGCATTTCCTCAGGTACGGCTCACTGTAAAGTCAGTCACACACACATGTGTAAGAAAGGTTTCAAACTGCATTCATGCACAGATGAACCAGACAACAAAGATCAATACAGAAACACCTATTGACCACAATGCCTGGTGCAATGACAGCTCCAGAATTAACTCCTCAGCATGCGTCAAACCAATTAGACTGTACAAATGTTTCCCCCTGTGTGTGGATAACTGCTGCACTCAGTTATATACATGAAAATGAATGTAAACAGTAAATAAAGAAGGACAAAAATAAAGCGAGAGCAATGAATGGAACAAAATCTATGAATAAGCAGAAGTAGAATTACCCTAAAAATTATTTATTAACCATGAAAACTTATAAAATCATATAAAAGTTAGGAGGAATTAGAAGATACTGGACACTTGGCCTTGGTTAAGACACACTTCTCTTCATGTGTCTACACCAGGCGCCTCCACAGTTCACAGAAGCACTAGCAGTAGCATTTACAGACCAAAGTGGGACTTTTGCATATAAATGAACATCTGTTACATTCAAGCCAAATAAAGTTCACATGATGCTGACTACGCCTGTATTTTGCAGTACACCAGTTTTACGTCTGGTTTCTGTAGCAACAGAGATGGAGCCGACTACAACGACTTGGAGCGTGGCGGAAAAACCTTTTCTAAGAAAAACTCCTCATGCTGAAAAAAGAAACGTCAGAGGAATTACAACAGTCTAAAACAGGAAGCAGCTGGAGGCGAGGCGTGCATCAAAGCACATGTTGACAGTGTTTGTGTAATTACTCTCACTGCCACAAGAGAGAGACAAAAGCTTTGCACTGCAGGTGTACAGCTGAGGTGTATCCCATCTGTGTCGAATGCTAACATGCACCTGCCTCACTCTTCAACACGTTGTGGTCACGCCCTTCTTTAGCTAAACTTTCAACCATCTAAACCTTATCTCAAATCTTGTAGCGTCTCACTAAAGCCTCTGACTTCTGTCGCTGGCATGCATTCTTAATAACTGATTTTTCCCTGGAGCAGCTCCGGTCAGGTGATTAATCAGTCACTTAGCACCTGTATGAAAAATGGCACTGTGTGGAAAAGCACCTATCACCTGATAGAGCGTGCTGATTCTCCTTTCCAGGCCTGCCGATACACGTCACCTGCCACGCCGAACAGCCAGCGCACATCAGCTGGCACCTCTGGGATCCACTCCACAAACCTGGTCCAAAGCAGAAATCACATTATATACAGCAGCAGCTTGACCAGATTGCTGCTCCTTTGAAGTGCGCAACTCATTTGCTTAAAGATGAGATACTGCCGCTGCTGTCCCCTCACCTCTGGGCCACCGAGTAGGCTGACTGCACAGGAAGAGTGTAGGGCATGAGCATGTAGGAAGCCACTCTCACTGGCAGCATCTCAGACACCTTGGCGTAGAGGCCAGGCTTATCTTGGCAAGCCTCGCAGAATACTGAGAAGCACACAGAGAACAGGACCCATCAGCCATAGGCCATGTTTACACTGTCATTTCCACATCAGTTTAAAGATGCATTATGTAATGTGTTCTGATGTAATCTGATGTGAACTACAAAAAAAGCCAGTAGAGTCTGGGATGACGCCACACCTTTCTTAATCGGCGTGGGCAGAGCGAGCTGCTCATCCAGCCACCAGTGCTGTTTCCGCAGCAGGAGGAGCCTCCGGAGCACCCACTCTTTGGTTGTTTCGGTTTGCTTGCAGCAGCAGCTGGCGGGGCTGTCAGGCAGGGCCGGGCCGGAGGTTGGATGCTGCAGCATCAGCAGGTCTGGCATCACAAAACATGACATCAGTGACAGTCCAAAAGTCAAGCTCGAGACTGATAGGAATGTGTCGTAAGGAGGCGATTAGATTTGAGTATTTGAGAGTGACCATGATAACACAGCAGAGCACTCACTGTTTTCTTCAAGGAAGCGTAGAGCATCTTTATAACCGCTCTGACACATCTCAGCCAGAACCTGTGAAGAGGAACGCAGTACATCTTACAAGCTGAAAACAAAAAACACAAAGATTTTTCCTGCACACATAGAACGAGTTGCTGGAGTTCCGACCCTGCCAGTTTCCACTTCTGTCTGCCATATTTAATGACAGTCAGGTAGGCTGCTTTGTGTTGTCACATGTATTTATATGTATTTAAACAAACAAAAGCAGAGATGTCATTTTAAAGCATTTGTTTTTCATTTTTACAATTTTAAATTATTGTTTTTTTAATAAACATATGAACTAAAAGTAAAAACTAAAACTAAAATAATGGTGCTTTGAAAGGAATACCTTGATATTTTAGACGACAGACTTATTTAATTACAGAAGAAGACGGACGCTGTCCTCATGAATGTGTGAGTGTGACTCAGGCTGCAGGCTAGGAGAGGAAAAACATGCAGGCTCAAGGTTCAGCGAGCCAGCTCAAAGTTCACAAATACCAGGACCAACACTTCTACAACATGTTGCACTATGCTGGCTTAAACCAAACACAGAAATACCACTTTGTAGAGATTTACATGCATTAGCTCTTTCTATTCTAAGTTAAGTGAGCTGGTTCCTGGTTTTTTCGCCACACAATGGAAGATTTAAAATGTCCAAATTAAAAAAAAAAAATCCAACCAACAAATACAGTGAAACAAATTTTCATGAGTTCCACCATGATGAAAAAACATGCAATGCAAAAAAATGTTTAAAAAAGAACTTTCAAAACGGGTTATACAATCACCAAAATGACTCTTAATTTTCATTAATTGAAAATATTTGTCACATACTATAAAATGAAAAGCATTAGCCAAAAGCCACCCGTCTCATATTTTGTTTGCTAGTTGTACATAACTACAGTAAGGCAGGACCAATGGGTTAGCTTAGCATAAACACTGTCAGCAGAGGAAAATGGCAGCTCGGCTCTGCTCATTAGCACCTCTAAAGCTCACTTTTTTATCTTGTTTGTTTAATCTAAAAAATCCAACTGAAACATCAATAATATAAGTAGTGCACTATCTATGCTTGGATTTTTTATTGGTGTATATTTGAATGCTACGTTATAGTAAATACAGCTAGGAGGCTACATTCCTAACAAAAACAACTTTATTTGTAAATGTAGTGCATTCATCATTCAGAGGCATGAATCAGGAAGCCTACTGAAGGGAATCAGTCTGTTCCAGTACCAGAGCTTCCTCCCCTGACTGGGAATCAAACCCAGACCATGGTGGTGACAGCACCAAAGCATAACCACCATCAGGGACCGGCCAGCGTGCACAGAGCGCATCTCATCTCACATGTACAGAGCTGGTGCGACATGGCAATTAGCTTAGCTTATCTAATTGCCAAGATGCATCAAGACTGCTGGCAGGGGAAAAGATCAGCTTGACTTTGTCCAAAACAGTTTAGACACAGAAAGAGTCCAGGCCACAAACCAGAGATCTTCTCGCTGTGAGGCAACAGTGCTAACCACAGATCCACCGTGCAGCCCTTGAAAGACATTCTTACATAAAAAACCAATAAGAAACTGACCATCTATCACTAACTTTATGACATGCCACTGTGTCTAGTTAACATTACATAAGAGAAACTTCTTCTAAACAAGCGAGCTCTGACAGCAGTAGGGGGCTCACAGCCAATCAACTGGCTGTACTGGTCAGACCACAGAGGTCCAAATACACACATGAGTCAAGTGTGTGTGTTTGTACAGAGCAGTGACTGGCTCAGCCACGTATGGGCACACTGGTTTTCAGCGAAGTAATTCCTCCCTCTAGGAATGTGCTGAGGACACACATGCCTCAGACGCAGACTTGTGAGTTCAGTTACATAACGTTGGGATCCGGTTATAACACACACGTGTGTGTGGAGTGGGAGTGGCTGTGCAGCCACAACACAACAAACAGGTAGACTCCAAAAAGTTCAAAGCTCGTGTTATCTTGGATAACAATCAATACAGGTGCAGTGAATACCAAGACGAAACAAGGAATAAAGAAGAGTGAGAGCAGGGAAGACTAGAATGTAGAGGGGCGTCCATGTTCTACGCTGTGTCAGGTTGAGGTAAAACAGGCAGGGAGGGGTGAAGGAATAAAGAAGACTCTGAACAAAGACTTCTTAAATCAAAGTGATATCTGTGTTCATGAAAAAATGACCCTCAGCTCTTGTGTGACTCTGAGTTCTCCATTTCTGGTGATGGGACTTAAAAAGTCAGCAAGTTGCTACAGTGTCAAAGTGTGGAATTACTTTAATTAATCCTGGTGTGACGGCAGCCGTCTGCCATCCTAAGACCACATCTGCCAGCCTTTGACAATGTGGGTCCTCTCACCAGTGGATGTCAGTGTAGCAGATGTTTCCAGATTAAGGTTGATGCTGCCTTTAGCTGGACGGCAGGACGTCTGGGACTGCTGAGGACAGTTTCACAAGGCAGCAAGACCAGCTCCATGACCAACAGTACGAGACGCCACTCTGCTGTCTGCAGCCACTGTGGCAACAAGCACTCATTGTGGGATGATGGTGAAAGTCAAGCAGCATCAATTAGACACCGCACACTACTGACCATAACAGATCAAGAAAGTCTGTGGCAACAGAACGCTCTCATTTATTGAACTGAACAAGGTTGAGTCAGAGAACGAGTCAGGTTTTGAATTTGTGAGAAGAAGAAAAAAGTTGATTCTGGTCTATTTCAATGTGGTGCATTATCTATTATATTACATGTCAACCAGCAGCTTTCCAAAAATGTGACTTTTACACGACTCATTTCTAAATGGGACCAATGTACCCACTGCTTGTAGCTGCTGAGCTTCCAGAGAGCCTCACACACGTGAACAGGCTGCTGGGAGTGGACGAACATGCAGGGCGATGAGGTCAGCCAGCAAGTTGCCCCAGATGGAGATGCCGAATGCAGTTAGGAAAACATCTGGTTCAGGCGGATTATGTCTGTATTTACTTTTGATCGGACGGGAAAACAAATGCTTAAAATGAGAGCTTGTGCTCGTCACAATTCACATGTCGCTTTGTGTGACTCCTCGTTCACCCAAATCTGTACAACAGAGTTGGAGAGGACATCTGTGATTATACAGCCTGAAATCACGCTGCTGATGCCAAACATCTTTCAACTGGAATAATATTTGGCAGGTATAGTGTAGTCAGAACCTGACGTGAAGGGTTAGAGTCGAGGGGAACTTACATATTTCGATAGTAGCTCACTGTGGGTTCATTACTGTGAGTGATTCCTTTCACATGAGACAAAGAATGTGATTCACTGTAGATATAAACATACTGATGGATGCACAATAACCCTCTGAAGCCCGGGCAGTTTCTAGTGCCCACAGGTGTCACCAGTGCTGGAGGAAAACAGAGGTGACTCCAGATACTTCACTACTTACATTTCTAATTTGTTTCCATATTGATCCCCTATCTGCTCTGTACAGCTGAATTCTGTTGCTCACAGCTGAGCCACTCATGGCTTCACAGTGGGCTCACAGACTTTTTGGGTTTTTACAGAATTTGCTTCCTACAAATGAACTGTGAATTGACATGCAGAATAAAATGACTTTGATGAAACTACAGTTCTAAGCTTAGATTTGATTAGATTTTCAAACAGAACAGCTTGTCACAGACGACTAGTTCAAGGACCATTAGAAAGTTGATATCTTCTGTTTTGAAACAGCATAATTTTGGCACAAGCTGGTTGTAGGTTTGGAGGATTAAATAAACCTGAGGTGAGGAAAACATTACTATCAAGTCAGGATTCAGAATCATAGTCAACAGCTGCACCTTCCATCCCGTCTGCTGAAGCAGAATGTTCCTGTAATGCTTGTGTGTTGCCTACCTTGGGTTCTGGTGGAAACAGTGCTCTGCTGAGGCGGTACATGTTGCCCAGGTTGATCTGGATGCTGGTGTTGGTGAAACGCAGCTCGTGGAAGCTGGTGGAGTTGTCCCGGGGACAGATGTCGCTTTCGCCACAGAAAGGCGAGATGGTGATGGTGTTCTTCAGCTCCGACTGTGGCAGGTTGTCACTAATCCCACCATCCACATACCGCTAAAGACACAAAAACAGACAGACTTAATCCATGCACACACTTTCATTTAAAAGGTGAAGTACTTCAGCTTTAGTTTCCTTCTCTGCACTATCAGTCTATGTAGTTACAGAAGAGGCCTCAGTGAAACACATGCACATACTTTTCTTTACTGCTGTACCGTGACAAAGGGGCCAAACAGAAAGCTCTCTGTATCTACATAATTTGGTCGTATATTTTAAACTACTGACTCTATTACTGACTACACTGACTGTGAGTGTTCTCACCAAACACCACAGAGGGTTTCATTGAAAATTAAAAAACTCACCTCTGTATCCACATTGACACAATTCGTTTTATTTGTTTATGTAATCGAATGCTCGAATTCCATTTCACACTCATCCTCTGACACGTCAGAAATGAAAGGAGGGCTTTCTCACTGAAAGCGTATAAAATGTCATGCAGAAGGAATTAACCTTGTTTTGGGTGCCAGTTGTACAATCCCATCGGCCTGGCATGCATGCTAGCAGCGGCAAATGTAGCCGCTGTGTTGGGAACTGCCAGCCTGATAGGATGTAGGTCAGTGACGTAGTGTGAGCCAGAGCGCTTCTCTGTGCATACACTGGATATACTGTGTGCACATATATATATATATATATATTAACCTATATTTTCTAATCCACTTACAGCACTGTGAAAACATTTTAGGCACCTAATTTGGATTCTTGTCCGTCATGTTGCACAGGGAGGCGTCTGACTGGACAACAAGAACAGACACACGGTCATAAAGAACCGTCTTCAACTACAAGAACAGAGCTCCGAGTCCTGTGAGGAGTTCATGTTGTGGATGAATTACTGCAGTGAGCTGAACTTTCCGGTCAGGTGAACGTGATCAAACTGTCAGCTGAAGTGTGTTTACTGTAAACAGCTGGACTGACATTTGATAAATTAGAACAAGCAAAATGTCAAAAATAATACTGAAGTACAAGTGCTTTACAATCAAGACAGATAAAACAATAAGCTATGAATTCTCAAGTCTTAACGGATGCCCAGATTAACAAGGGTGTAGCTGAATATAATGCTGTAATAAGACATAGTCATTTATATATGTCACATATAATTGAATTCATATCATACAGTTGGGTTTCTCAGTCTTAGGACTAACATGTAGGCTGTGAAGCTCCAGTCACAGTAAACCACAGTGACAAACATGCAGTCTCTGACAAACACCCTCTTTGTGGACATCTTGGTGCATTTCATCCAGAAAAGAGCCTGCTGTCTCAGTCTTGGTGCCAAAGTTCAGTGTCAAAACACCACAGGGAACACAGAGAACCCAATAAGCTGCTGCCACACTTAGTTCAACTATTTATGTGTTACAAAACCTACTGTGAGTACACATATTCAGCCTGCACGTGCTCGCTGTGCATTCTGTACATTGTGTACTTTCTGCCGCTCAGAACGCCTGAAGACTCACAACCCGGTTCAGCGTGACTCACCAGGACTGTGCACGAGTGTGCTTTCTCCTCAGGCAAAGGGTCTACACAACAAATCCACAAGTTCAACTGACATCTCAAATGACCTATAATTTGATTAGCTTTGACATGTCCCCTGCTGGACTGTTGCTCTCCTAACATTTAACTGACAATATTGTGTTTGGCATCCTGCTTTCAGTACTTTCTCTTCAAGACACTTGCACAGCTTTCATCACTTCTAATCTAACCTGCAGTCCTCAGACATGGTATCAAAGCATCATATTTCTTTTCCTCTCTGTGACAGTAAGGTGAAGATCTTTCTTTGGGAATCACAGATCAACATGTTTCACCGTATTCTGACGTTACAGTTTTGTGTAGGAGTGTCATTTTCTAGACAGAGTTGGATTATTCTATGTATTTTTTTTAATACTTTGTCTTTTGCTTGACTTTGTTTATCTGCTCTGGTGGAATTGTACTTCACCCTATTTTTTAAAGAATTACATAAGTGGATGTAAGTACCTAGCAAAAGATAGGAAACTGGTCTGATTACTGAATGCAATGACTGCCAAAGTCCAATAGCAGCTCACAACTCACAGTGAAGTAAGGATTCAAAATGATCTCACAGTAGTCTTGCACTTTTACCTCAACACTCCTTGTGTTGTGTGTGGAAGCTGCAGCAGCTGTAAAGTTCTTTTTTTAGGATTTACTGGAATAATGTTGACAAAATCTGAATACATTTTTGGTTCACAGCTGCAAGTCAATCTTCTAGCTACACAACATGATCACAACAATGTTGTTACACTCACACATTTCCCTCTCAGATATCTGACAACTTGTTTTTCAGCTTGGCTTATTGCTACATGTTTTCTTCCCCATTCAAGCTTCCTTTTTTTCCATATATAATCTTTTTTCATCACGAGTGCCCCTACTTCCTATTAACGGGTGCTGAACACATGTAATGAAGCTAATAATGTGACTGTTCTAGGAGGAGCATGATAATAAAACCAAAATCAAAAGTAAACCCTGATATGTAGTGATTCACCTACAGACACCTACCACTCCTCTGAAGGATGGAGGAATGAGCCCACAGTAGATGGGAATGAAGCAACTGCAGATCAGCGCCTGTGGACAGACGAGAGCACAGGGTTAAACCACAGCCAGGATGTTTACCGTGGCCTGTAAGGTGACCCGCACCTCCCCACACCTGGATGAGCTCCTCTTTGGAGCTGAACTCCGACACCAACACGTTCTCCCCATCAGACACCCTGGTCAGAGAAACACAGAGCCGCCCCGAGGCCAGGACATGTGCATCTGAGGGCAGGTCGCGAGTCAAGCCGGACCTTATCACCTTCACCAGGTTGAAGGTTGGGTGAAGTGGGCCCAGGTTTCTCTTCCTGGCCTCCTTCGCCACCTCAAGCACATCTTCACAGCATTTCGCTAGGACAGAGGAAGTAAAAGGAAAAAGGTTCAGACTCTAGAGCTACACTTCTGCTTTGAAGATCAAGTAACTGAAACAACAACACAGTGCGACCAGCAGTGAGCAGTGACCAACAGTAACCTGGGTGAGGCCTTTTCTGGCCGTTGTCCCAGCTATGCTGATATCACTGCAGTTTTTATTGGTCAGTGTGCACAGGTAAATCTGGATTCTCACGTGTTTACTGACAGCAGTCCGGATGACTGCTGATTCATGAGACAGAAAGTGAAAGAGAGGATCTAAGTCAAGCACAGGCACGCCATCTGCTTACCCAGTAGCTCCACACCGTCACTGTACGTTGAAACACAGACTGAATATGTATCAATGAACATTATCATAAACTATTTATTTATATTATTATATCAGCTGTGCGTCTAACTATGCAGCAGTTTGTAGTTTCATTCTGGGTTTAACAGTTGTATAAGTCTGACAGTGCCTGACACATAACATCTAATCTTGGATCGATACTAAAATGACTCAGAGTATGCTTCACACTGCTTTGACCTGAAAGTATAATTATGACTTACTAACTGTGCGTAACAGTGAATTTCCATTTAATTTGAAGTGCATACTGGAAGTCCCTGTCAGACAATCTGAGGCTTTAAAGCCGTTTACTTTACCTCCTAGTGGGGCTGAACAATTAAAAGATTTCACATCAAACTCTCTGTTTGAAACAGTGAACCTGACAAATCACAAAGGCTTCAATTTAGGATGCACCTCATTCAGCACTCACAGTTTAAACTGTGGAGTCAGTCTATGAACACATTCATGGCGCCCTGCTTGTGTCACAGCCAAGCTTCTGATGGTATCTTATGTGGTAAAGCTCCATCACAGGTTTTATCACACAGTGAATACTGAACTGAAGCAGGAGTTGAAAACATGGAATTACACATCAAAGTGTAATGTTTGTCAGGAACAATGAAATGAGCTACTTTTCCCTAAATCGTTCAGCCCTACTTTCTAGAATCTTTAAAGGCTAGAATCTTTTCTATTTTATATTTTCTCATATTGGTTATCTTATCTGGTCCTTTTGTGGGCTGATTGTACTTAACAGTATTATCCTGAAGTGTTTTACTCCATAAAGCAGGCTGTAACTGATAAATGTTTATTATTAGCTTATTAATATGCACACTAATCCAGGTTTATATTTGTCTGTCTACATGGTAATGACATTCAGATTATGGATAGTTTGAAAATTGCTTCAAATGAAAAAAGTCTGAAAGTATATTTAGGATATGTTTACGCATTTCTGTATGTAAAAGATTTAAAGTCAGGTTTTAAAACTGAAATCTAATGAGACATACATTTAGCCTGTTTTCTTTCACCAATAACTGTTGGTGTCTATATACATTTAAATATAGGTGATGGATATGTGCAGTTCAGCCTATTGAAAATGCATTTAAAACTATATTCTATTTATAGATATATATGTATATGCACTGAATTAATACGTTAAGTTCAACAAACTGACAACAAAGAATAAGAAGGAACAAAGCATGTTGGCTCAGTTTCCTCCTGTCCACATTTAGCCATCCTAAAGCTCCGGGTTTCAGCGGCGGGTCTTACTTATCGCTGCCTGGCTGGCGAGCACCGAGGCGGTCAGAGCACCGGCCGAAGCTCCGTACAGCCTGGTGGCCCCTCTGACGAGGTAGGGCGCTTTCTCCAGCAGGCAACTGGCAACTCCGATGTGGTAAATCCCCAGGAAGCCGCAGCCGGCGAAAGACAGGTTCCAGCCGTTATTAAGGTCGAACATGGCGGGGCATTACCCGGCTCGGGGTCCCGGTCGCTGCGGCTGAGAAGAGGAGTCGGCCCCGCTGCCACTGGCTCTCAGCGAACACAACTGAAGTCAACAGGTTAACAAGCAGCTCTATAAAGTGCGTGTGATGCGTTCAAGTGCTGTAAGAACTTTCACCACTTCCAAAGTTAACCAAAGACTGTCGCTTCATTTCATAATACACATAAATCTAAAAAGTGGTAAATTAGCCAGCTTATTGTCAAAGAAGTATGCATATGATCGCCCAGGCTTGTAATCACTAGTTAACAAAAGTGCCAAGACTTTTTCCCACTAACGATAATCTGCTTTCCCCCTTATTGAATAATACATGTACACGAAGTTAATAGAGACGCATGTAGTTCAGATTTACGACTGACAATGAAGGCAATGCACATTACTTAGAGCATGATTGGATTCTTGCACGTCAATCAATTCCTTTGACCAATCAGCAGCAAGTGGGCGGGGCAACACGCTATGTGGCGTCACCACGCTTAGAAGAAGAAGTAAATAAAAGAAAGCAAAACACACAGCACACTGTCCTGCAACATGACCGGATTTGTCACACACTAGCCCTTCTAACATGAACTCATTATGCCTTTAAACAGCACACGGCTTCATAACAAGCTTATAAACAGATGGTTATTGTGGAACACTGAGTACTGTGAAGTACAGGTTAAGTGATAAATATTGAGATGTGCTCCATAAATAACCACATTTTCAGAGATATTTCCTGAGACATGCAAACGTTGTGAAAATGTATAATTAGGCACATAATAATAGCCTACATTAGCATCCATCCATGTATCCATTTTCTATACATCACTTGATCCTGTAGGGTTGTGGGCACACCGGAGCCTATTCCAGGTGTCATGTAGGAGAGGTGTGGATCAGAGAACTGTCTGTCAACGGTTCTCCATAGATGTTCTATGGGGTTTAAGTCTGGACTTCAGCTGGGCCACTCAAAGACAGTCAAAGAGTCACTACAGTGTTGTTGTGGCTGTTTGTTTCGGGTCGTTGCCCTGCTGAGAGGTGAACAGTTTCTCAAGTCTCGGACTGCTGCGCTCTGGAGCAGGTTATTTTCAACATCTAATTGTATTTGGCTGCATTCATCATTCCCTTAGCTCTAACTAATCGTCCTGTTCCTGCAGCTGAGAAACACCCCAATAGCATGATGCTGCCACCACCATGCCTCGCCACAGGGATAGTACTAGCAGGTGATGAGCAGCACCACAGCAATGGGTCTTAATACTTCAGCACATAAGAGATTTTAGCTTTGACCTTTAATAATTTTTCACAAAAAAAAAAAAAATTGAAAAACATGTTTTCACTTTGTCATTATGTATCCTCCAGTCTAGATCGATGGGTACATTCTCAGTTTTATTCATTAAAAATTAAATCTACAACTTAATAAAGTATTTAAACAGTAAAGAGATCTGAATGCTTTGGGGAGAGACTGTTCATAAAATGAACACATCAGTCACAGTAGCCTTTATAAAAACCATGTAAACACTGTAAAAGTCATAGAACACTACAGGACGATCATGAAATCACAGTTCTGATTAGACCCCACTGACAGATATGTCATACTCTTGCAGCACGGCTTTATTTATAAAAACTCGTTAGCTGGTATCAGATAATTCTGCACTGTGCGACCCAATAATTAAAGACTATAATGAAGATTAGGCTGTAGGACGATTACAACATGAAATCCTTATCAGGAGCCTGATACTTTAGTGGAGCATATAGGTGCGTGTACGACGTGTTTGGAAACCTCCTTCCTCTGCGGGGGCGCGTATCCTCGTGCCCGCTGAGACTGGTCCTGATGCTGGGACTCGTGCGCGCGCATTACATCACTTCTCCCCTGCGTGATTGGCTGCAGGTCAACTCGTCCGCCTGCCGTGCAGCATCCACCGCCAGCCCCAGCATCCCTGAGCAAGCGGCGTTTCAGGTCACCGCCACCAGCATCCCCCTCCTCATCTCCGAGTTTATTAAAAAACCAAAGACTAAGCTGTTCGCGGGTGTGTGCGCCTTTTCTTTTTCTTGCACTGGCGGCTCGTATCCAGGATGGCCGAGAGCGAGGCAGACACGCCGAGCACGCCGATTGAGTTTGAGAGCAAATACTTCGAGTTTGATGGAGTGCGGCTGCCGCCCTTCTGCAGAGGAAAGATGGAGGAGATCGCCAACTTCTCCCTCAGAAGTAGCGACATATGGATTGTCACCTACCCAAAGTCAGGTAAACAAGCATCGCGGTGCTCGAGTTGTCGCGCATTTCTCGGCTGCATCGCTGCTCTCTGCTGCAGCGTCTCTGCAAGCTTGTTATTGTCAAAGTTTTCCAACATAGACAGAACACAGGGCGACAAAATGCATCTCCTGCATTAGTCATAAGCTTCATTTTGCATAACACAACCTACCGGTCGCTGCATCATTAGAGCTGCAGTGTTCACAGGCTATGTAACAGCTGTGGGTGGATCACAGTAATGTCTTTATTTATATCGCGCTTGTGCAGCAGAACCACATCTCACAGGCCTCTATCAAGCTTTTATAAGCTACAGCCTGTATTTCATAATCAGATGACAGCAAATGCATGAGTCAGACAAACTAAATCGATTACTGTCCGGCTCTAGTGCACCAGTAAGACGACGCGTCTAATCCTGTCTTCATCATTCACCTCAATCACACGCGCAGTTGAGGAAGTTGATGTTTACATCCAGCTTCATTGCGCAGAGCTGCTGCAGGCCGCTTGTCGTGCGCGGTGCCCTGCTGTGTGCTGGGTGGGTCCGGTCATGTGACGGCTGGTGGGCAGCTGGAGCTCCGTCAGTGAGCACAGGAGGCCACAGGGAGACGGATTGTCCTGGTGTAGGGTGTCAGCAGTAGGCAGGATACAGGGACACATGTCCAGCCTGTAGTGGACAGGTAAACATGCACACTTTAGCAAGTCCTAAATCGATATGGTGGCATTTCCCCAAACTTAAATGTGCTTTATGCATTTGAATATATAATAAGCCTAATAGTCACAGTTGAGCCCTGAAAATGATCAGCATCACAAAAATAAATGTATTTCCATCATTTCCATTACAAAACACAGATTGATCGTATGTTTGCTAAAATACAGTTTAACTAAAGTTTAAATCTGCTTTGATTTGAAAGAATGCATTAACACAAACTATGATGTATACTCATGAACACCTCCAGTGCATGGTTGGTTCTTGTTTGTGGTAATGTGGCTGCGAAGCACAGAGGTCAGAGATCCAGTGACGTTTCAGCAGAACCTGGGTTTTACCAAACAATGAGTTCTCGCTGTGAGGTACCATGATGACACACAGGACTAATGCTGCAGCATATAGAATGCTATCTTAATATTGGCAGCTAATTTAAATACAAAAACTAACTAAATAAACATGCTTTAAAGGGGTTTAGCGTTAATGCAGAAGGTAAAAGGTACAATGTGCAAGATTTTGAACGTAAATACTGCATCTGCAAAGTAAAGATAGAGTTTATTAATGAAATCACATTCCCTCTGTTTGTGTGTCGTAATGCAAACTTCTTCTTCTTGATTACTGAGGTCCTGTTTTGCTTATTGCCTGAATGAAAATGTTCATCTTAATATTGGATGTCACCTTTTTACCAAACATGCATTGTTGGAAGCTAAAGAATTGGCTGATTTCGTTTGGTAAAGGGCTACACTAATCATATTAAATCCGCTGCAGTTTCTACACAGCTGGTGTGACTGTGTATTACAAGTATGTCTGAGGCTGTGTTGTAACAGGCCTAAAAATAGAAGGGTATGAAAACAATGCCACATATAGTAGATGGGTCAAAGGATTTATTGAGTCAAAGCTTCTAATGACTCAGTGAAGGTATGGGATGTACTGTGTAAGGCTTTATTCATACAATGAACAACACGACAGGGGTTTGATTGCACAAATGCACATGTGAGCGACACATTTGTGGAGTAGTGCTGCACCGTACTGCAGTACACATTCTGTTACATGATACAGTGACAGAAAGCAGTAGGATCAAACTCCTGTGTGTAACACACCGTGTCACTTCCTGTTCAGGTTTTGTCTTGCAAGCATTGATTTGTGCAGGATCTGCTCATCTCACAGGCTTTGTGCTCACTGTATATAGGCTCTGCTAGAGCTCTGGCTGTGGGAAGGCAAGTGGAATTCTCTAATTAGTGTCAAATCAAATGCAAAGGTAAACACTGTCTTCTCATCCATGTACACTTTCTAGGCTTCAAACCTTTTGGTTGATCCAACTAACTACAATTGAGAGAAATTGGAATTGAACAGTAAACAATATTGTTACTCTCTAAACTTGTGCAATACTACAAATTAATCAGTCACAGGAGTGTTGATGAACAAATGTGATCCCTTTAATATCTGTAAATGTCCTGTGTCATGTCTTCCTTTATTTTTAGTTTCAGTAGAACTGTCTGTTAGGGGATGCACCCAGCCACACACATCAGTAAATAAAAGATAGTTTATAATTTTCCTTATCAGGCTCAGAATCTCTGACGTCTGTAAAAGTTCAGGCCTAGAAGCATGCAAAACATCAGTCTGGACACAGACGTCAAGAAACTGGCTTTTATAAGGTTGACAGCGCAGGATTTGGAATGTTCTCACACATTTGTAGACCGAAACAGCGAATGACTCATCAAAGCTTGGCGTCCTTGGCATGCATCTGGCCTCTCCTTAGTTTATCTGCGGTTGTCCACTACATTAATGTTACAGGGTGACGACTTGGTGCATGCAGGTAGTCTTCATGTTTGACATTTTAATGATCTTTAGGGACTGAGAGAAACGAGTCAGTGTGTTAAAATGTTCAACCTTTCTATTGTTTTCCTGCTGCATGCTTATTGTTGGTATATCCTTCCTCCTCTGGTGCAGAGGGAAGAAAGCACATGGCAGGCCACATGGCTGGGATTCTGCAGAGGTGTCATGCCATTGGCTCACATGTGATAGACTTGGCCAATGGGATGAGCCAAATTCTATAAACCAGGGGGAGGGGGTGAGAAGTGTGAAGTAGCGGTACAGCTGTATGATGGCAGTGCATTTATG